CAAGATCCGGCCCAAGAGGCCTCCCGTTCAGACTCATCCAGTTGAAATGCAAACACGGAGCATATGTGGAGGTGTCACCAGAACGCCCAAGACGCCCGCCGGGCACAATAACAAACGTATCTCCACGCCTCCTGGCTCTGTCCAAGATGTCACGACACTTTACCTCGAGATCAAGATATTGTCTTAATGGCCTGTGGCTGCACAAAGCTCTCCCCGTCGGTAGAATATACTCTTTGGGGTGTGGAGGGGATCGGAAACCAGGCACGGTAGCCAGACATCACATGCCCTGCTGCAGACCTGCAACATAATAGCCAGGAAGACTATGCTGGTCAACCTGAAGGACCCACGAGCCGCCTTCATTGGAAACAGTGGCATAATTTTTCTTCTCATTAAACTATTTTGTATTTTACCAGGTAAGGCAACCTTGGGCTATGTAGTTATTTTTCAGAAGTGACCTGGCTATAACAAATGATAGCTCAACGAAGTGGATTTTGGAAATGTATAGCAGCCAAATACTCTAACCGCGTGATGTTGATTTTAAATCTGGAGGGAAAAACTGGAGGACCCGGAGAAAAATCTACGCGACCGCGAGGAGAGAGAAAGAGACCACAAAGTCCAAATATACAGCAGCAGACATCGTCAGGGTCGGATTCCCCTCCCCCGTCACTCCCCTCCCATTAAAATCTTCATCACCCCAACGTGGCGTCCTCACTGAGTTGGGGCAGCGCCCCCCCCCTCCTCCTCATTTTACCCCTTCTCCTTTTACCACCCTCAATTTAACACCCCTCCTTTTACCCCCCCCCTCATTTTACTCCCCCCCTTCCTTTTACCACCATGCTTTTACCCCCCTCCTTTACCCTCTCATTCCCCCCCTCCTTTTGCCCCCCCCGCCTCATTTTATCTGTTGCAACCGCGGGCTGCAACGGCCTAGCGTTTTGTTAACATTAAAGCAAAACTGAAAACTTCGTAACGTGGATTCTGGCTGTTGCCCCCTCTGCAGCAACAGCAGCAGCATCGCAGAGTGAACTGCCAACAGCGCGCCCCATGCTACCCACACTCAAGCACCCCTCCCCCTTCCTATTTCATATAACGAGAGCCAATAATTTATGAGAGGCACAACCGCTAAAGAAATCCTACGGTTAATCAATAACACTTTTCATCCATAAAACGGTGAATCACTAACACTGTTCATTAATAACATGTTAAAACTATACAGCTCCGCACCTCCAGATTAGCACGGTTGCTATGTGCGGTGCGAAGGTCAACATACATACGTACATACACGTAATCCTCTGGGGCTCAAATAAATTATTCTCCGGATGTGCCCTTGGAGTAGTAACAATAATAATAACCTCTCTCTTACAAAGCTTCGTTCATATAGAAATATCTTAAAGCGCAGTGCATAAAAAATAAAGACTACACTCACCAGTGTTGATAACATCTAAGCGAAACATACATCTAATAATAATAATATCAAAGACAACTGCACTCGAAATGCAATTAAAATGAAGAACCAATTGTGATAAAAGCGCATAATTATAATTACACAGCCATCAAATCAGACAAAAGGAAAAGGCAATTAATAAAAATAGGGTTTCAAGTCTTACTGGGAAAGCCAATACAAATAGGTGCGTTTTAAGACGAGATTTAATAACTTACATTTGTAAGTTTAATTAAAAAAATGCTTTTAATGAATGTACTGTATGTTGAACTTTTATCGCGCCGTACGTAGCCAACCAATCGGAGGTGCGACGGGGGAAGGACAACAACCCAAACACGAAAAACTCAGTTCGAAAAAAATTAGTTTTTTCTGAATTATTTAAAAGCGATTGCCACTTTATGGAAGTGGGATGTTGACTACCTCGCCTGGTATGCAGGAGCTCGTGGGTTCGATCCTGATGGCTGCTGTATATTTGGAGTTTGTGTTTGCCTGCTGCTATATACATTTCCTCATGATGATAAGGCCACTTCGTTGAGCTATAATTTGTGATGGCCAGGTCTCTTCTCAAAAAGAGCAGCTCAGTGGGCCTTACCTGGTCAAATAAAAAGGAGTTTAGTTTAGTCTCTTGGCAGTCACTGCGGCTTTGGCACGAGAGATGAGAGACTGGTCGCACGGACCACGAGTTACCACAAATATCGGCACCCGCCATTCGCCACTCAGTGACGCGCGAGGTGTCGAAGGCTCTCGCTGCTGACAGGAGGTCACGGGACGGACCCCAGGTGCCATGGGGTTGACCGACTGAGATGACCGGCGACCCTTTGGCTCCCAACTGTGCCAACTTGCTGCGTTTATAGCTGCCCGGCACTCCGCTCATTGTCGTGAGCGTCGCTCCTCTCCCTCCACTGACGTTAATCTTCGGTGGATGACGTCACCACGGCGTTTATGCCAGGCTAGGTGCACCTTGAGGCCATCACGTGAAATGTCTAAGGATGGCATGAGAGAGATCCCAGGTATTATGGGCTGACTGACTGAGATGACTGGCAGATGCACACCAGCCGTGCTCCTCTTGCTGTGCCAACTCGGCTGCGTTTTAGCCGCCCGGCGCTACCGTTCGTTATTGTGAGCGGCGCTCCTCTGCCCTCCGTTGTTGTTGGAGAGCGACTGCCTCCAACTGCCCACAGTCGTAGCGTCCTTCACGAGCCTCCTCCATAGGAGGGCGACGAGTTAACCGCCTAGATGACGCTCACTCGACAATATTATGGCTGGCATTTGAGCTCACATCGGCCCACCTTTCTATAGTTACGCAATTATTATTAATCATCATTATGTACATTTATAGAACGCCTTTCGCAACCTCAAAGTTCAAGGGTGCTTCAACGCACGTAAAGGTGAAGCCAAACTTTTTTTTTACAAATACGACTGTTGTAAAGAAGGAATAAGGCAATAAAACAGGTGCGAATATGTCCAAACACCACGTAGATACCTACTGTATTTCAAGGCATCGAGTCTGCGTTAACCAAGGCATCGAGTCTGCGTTAACCAAGGCATCGATGCAGTTTTTATGCCTTGCAAAAGGTAATCTATTTGGTGTTTGAACATCTTAACACCTCCCGTTTTATCGCCAGAAAAAAGGAAAAACCTATTCTTATTTTTCATCATGTTGGACAATGGAAAAAACAAGCTCCCGTAGGCTTGAATGAAGCCGTAAAAATAATCATCGCGAGATGCCAGGATGAAAATAAGATGGATAAATCATAGAAGTATGCCTTCTTAAGCCTTTATTTAAGAGTTAGCCACGACGGGCGAAACATCTCGACACGATGGGGCAAAGAGAGCTCCCCCGTTGGCGGTGCCTGAACCCGCAAAGCAAAGCGACTCCTCTTTGCCGAGAGATCGGCGCTCCGCAAACTCGCGTGCGGCCTCCTCCTCGTCGTTGAAACGCGGCAAAGTCCCACCCCAGCTACGCCGCTCGACGTTCTGAATGATGGGAAAGGAAGAAACGTGGCCGTTCTCAAGCCGGGCCATACGCGAACTCTCTGCTCTCTCCGTGCCGTTCAATATCCGATCCACTCCCACACATCCCACAACCACCCCCCTGCCCTCCCCTTACTATGGGTCGCAGCGCAGTACGGCAGTAGACAGCCGTCAGCCGGTCACCCCGGGGCCACCTACTCACCCGGACCCACAATTGGGATTTGGACGTGTTGGGGGTACACCGGTGCAGCGTAACAACACACCGGCTCCTTATACACAATCTGACGATGTCGCTATTCCCCATCGGGTGAGCTGCAGGACTCTCAATCAGAAGTTGCGCTTGGATTCAGCAGCCGTCTTCCCATTGGAACGTATTGGTGGTGCCACCAGCACGAGTCGTAATCTTGTGGTACAACCGTCTTCCAATACAAAAATACCGTAAATGAATCGAGGAACGGTCCGAACAAGTCTAGGGCACGATGAGTCAAATCTTGACTTTGAAACACGAAGCAGCCAATCGTCATCAGGCTGGGTGCTCCTATACGGCAACAGACTGCGAAGCTTCGTGTTCAGCCGCTCGTTACAACATTCTGTCTTCCGACTGCTTCTTCGGCGTCTTGTCTCCTGTCCAACCTCTACACGGGTCTTTCCCGATATTCTGCAAAGGACACCGCTTCTGGTGTTGGCATTGCCACACCTTGAGGAGTAGCATTGTGGTGGCTGCAGGGCATCGCAGGTGATGGTCCATGGTTTGCTTCTCCCGACCGCTTTGATATCACGAGAACCGATGTTGACGCACCACCACCTCGCAAGATTTTCTTTGCCGGGGGTTGCGAATGACGGGAAACTAATTAATAAATCATAATTCAAGCAGATTATTGATTTGTTATACCGCGCACCGTCGGTGTACCGTCAATGCGTTCATACGTCCACTCATGAAGTAGCTGTGCCCTTTTGTTTATTGAAGTCCTGATGCGGTTGATGGTTAGACCAGTGTGTTTATGGGGTGCCACTCAGTGGTGAGATGTTAACAACCTCGCCTGGTATGCAGGAGGTCATGGGTTCCATCCTTACCCTGACGCCTGCTGTATATTTTGAGTTTGCACGTCATCCTCTCCCCATGGTCGCTTGGATTTTTCTTCGAGGCCCCCCGAATGTTTCCCTCCTAATTTAGAAATATACGTTTAAATGTCCACGCGATAAGCCACTTCGCCGAGCCATGGTTTGTGATAGCCGTGAAGTGACTCCAGTTTGAGACGCACTGGCCTGTGATCGGCCACCGTGGCCCACACGGTTGCAGTCTGCGACAGCGCGGCGAGGTGTCCCGTGTGGCCCTGAGTGGCGCTTACTTTACTCCTCTCCATCCCCTGTGGGACGTCAGGCTGGGTGACGCAGAGCCTGCCAATGGCTCAGTGGCCGCGTGTAAAACCGCAAAGGCCCGCGAGTGGCAGAGAAGTGGCGAACGCACCAAAGGCGTGAACCGTCATCGCGTGTGCGGCAAATCCTCGGCGCGTCACCTCTCCCTTCCCACCTCCTGCACCCCCACCCCCACCAACCATCCCGACCAACCCCCCCCACCCCCGTCACTACCGCGCACGAGGCGGAGCGGTCAAGCGAGTTGGGGCGGATCGATGCCTCGGAAGGCTGTCGTCTCGCCGGCATTGTTCCCCTCCAGAATCAGATTTATCTTTTAAAATGTAAGTTTGGTGGCCGTGTGGCTCAGAGATCCAGCCAGGGGCGCAGCTATAAAGGTATGTGGGGCACTGTTAATACGACGCACAGGGGCCCAGTCAGCCACACGGGGGGCCCCAAAACAAGAAGAAAATAAAAATTAGCTGCGTTTTCCCATGGAACAAGGTCTATGATTAACGCATATGGCTATCACCGTATCAATAGAGCAGCATCAAGTTGCGCGATGCACCCCCTTTGAGGAAGTCCCATACCGAAATCAAGACGCACGATTACTTAATTGTAAGTATTGTCAGATACATGTTTCATTAATACTGTCAGTGAGATTGTCTTCCCCAAATCCCAATACACGGTGCAACACGTTATAGCCTACATATTATTGCATACGGATTAAACGCATCCGTAGCTATTTCAGTAAAAGTGAGTCGGGAGAGAGGGGGGCCCACAGTCGGATCTTGAAATCGCTCGTTGCGCCTCTGGAACCAGCCACGCTGTGATGATTTCATTGGCTTCTCATTCGGAGTGGAGAGATGGTCTCTACCCGGTCACCAATGACTTCATTTGTGCTATATTCGAGCTCTGAGACCCCACAAACACTGCGCATATATAATGCTCTCTTTAATACAGTAAATATTAGATCAGTGTTGATGGTATAGAACGAACATCACTCCCAGTGGGAGAGCAGCAGTGAACCGTGCTGCCTCGTGGATGGGGGACGGTGGCCTCCACCATTGTAACCATCCTCACGGCACTCCCTCACCCCGTTCTCTCTCCTGCCCCTGCCCTAAAAACGCAAAGTGTTCCTGATCGTTGCAACATGCGTGAGTCGTAGGTCTGTCAGCCCAATCGCCCTTCCCTTCCCTTACCCTGTGGGCACCTCGCCCCGGGTTTGTCGTCCGCGGAATATCTCTCTTTGCCTCGCCCTCCCATCGCGCGTGCTCTGTACTGGGCTCTTGTTCAATTAAAATCTAATCTCACATCACCGGATGCAAGAGTAAATCTTGCCATGGGCCCTGTTCATCCATACAATCCTTGTTGGCAAATCTAGCGCTGTAGAGTATTGCGCAAATCAATTAACCCCATTGTCAAACCCAAGAACCTATAACGTAATTCTAATAATTGCCATTCAACTATCCCAAGAATTGCCGCTGTCGCATCACCAACGTTTTGGAACAACAACAACCTTGTTTCCCCCCTTAAACATCGTAAACCTTCCTTCAGGAAAGTAATCCTAAGGCAGAAAACTAGTGCCGGGTACAACCACGTTTTTGCAAATGTGAGTTGTTACTTGGAATACGTTACCAGTGTAGCGAAAGTTCAATTTTAAAGTGCAAGCTTATGGAGGGACTACAGTGTGGCGTTATCTTGGCATGGGCTGGGACTGTTGTTGTTTTTTTGCGTTGCCTTTAGTGTTGAGAAATCGGGCTTATATACTTTATTTATTGATCATATTTAGTGACTTGCTCACATTTCTCTCTATTTTACACTCCAATCGTTTTTTTTTATTTTGCCCCGGTTTGCAGTTGTAACTATTGCTCGCCCCGTGCCCCAAATGGACGTGTGTGTGTATGACAACAAAGAGCTTCACAGCTTATCGGATTCCTCCTGCTGCAGTCGAAACGAACATTTCGAGTTTTGTTCGCGTGCTTTAGTGTCACATCGAAACGCAACTGGTAGCAGCGAAATAAAAACATACATATAAAAAAGTGATTAATTTGTATCCATGATCAGCGAGGTCGCTTGACGTATCTGTGGCAACCACAGAAGGGAAATTCCCGCTGCAATTTGCCCGCAGTGTTTTCCCGGCACCGTGTGGGGATGACGACGACGACGATGATGATGATGGCGGTGATGCAATGAGACTCGGCGAACCCAAGTGAGTGACGCAGGCGGATGAATGCAGAGCCCCCCCCCCCCTCCGGGCGCCACACCTCCTGGGGAGTGATCCTGCGATTCAAATGTGCCCCGATGTAAATCCTTAGTGATAGTTGCTTAAGGAGGGGGTGGGGGTTAAAATGACGCTCACCGGTACGGGAGTGGTCATTCAAAGCGCGTGCGCATTTCTGTTCACGTGCGCACGAGTGCGTGTGCGCACGTGAGTCAGAGCCACGTCACCCCAACCCCGCCTCGTGTGCCGTGCCGGCCTTCATCGGTGATGCTCGTTAAAAGCATTTGCCCCGATAGTCTGTGAAGGCTATATACTAGCGGGGGCTTTGGGGGGGGGGGGGGGGGGGAGGTTATCTTTGTTTGTCACAGCCGTTCCCTGTTCAACTTGGGGGTGTGACGGGAATGGTCGCTGCCCCCCTACACTATTTAATATCCTGGGCCGCGTAGTTCGAGAAGCTTTACATGGCTGTACCGGAGAAATTTCCCTCTGGTACGGATACAATGGGACAACTGAGCGATGCCCGGGTGCTGTCAAGGGATAGCTCCCTATTGGTCAACCATGTTATGTATTCTGATGATCTGGTGATTACTTCTCACTGTGAGATCGAGTTGAAGGAAAGTGGAGGGTGCCACGAAGAGATGGGGATCATATCATCAGACCTATCAAAATAAAGCACCTGCCTGGGTGTGGGTATTTTGTATAATCGAATGCTCCCCATTAATGATGGGACAGTTGTGGAGAGAGTGGAGAAGTTTCCGTACCTGGGAATTTGTACTTATGGCTACTTATAACTTCGGTTTTGCAGTGGAGGTCTCACTCCGAATCAGTCCAACGGCAGCATTGTCACAGCAGCCCTTTTGCCCACTTCAGCAATTGTTTATTGTTGTGGTTGCCCCACCTGATGACAGACGCTTGTGTTTCGCCCGAAGCGTCGTGATTTAATTAATTTTAATTTTATACCTACGTGACTTTACCGAAAGAACCAAAGAGTACGGAATCATATTTTCATCAGCTGCGTAACGCTGCGTGAAAGCTGCGTGGTCTATTGCTCCGTACGAGGCTCGGGATCTTCTAGGCCACAGTTGTGCTTGCAAAACATGGAGCCTTTCAAATGAACATCTGCGCCGGTTTGAAACATTCAGGCTGGCCTGTCTATGATCCATTCTGGTTTTAACCAGACTGGATTATGTGAGTAACTCACACATCGATCTTGATTTGAAGCTTTCGTGACTGCAGGAATCCATACTCTTTGGTTCTTTCGGTAAAGTCATCATGTAGTTAGAAATAAAATAAAACAAATCACGACGTTTCGATCGAAACACAAGCGATCGAAACGTCGTGATTTGTTTTATTTTCTTTTACTTCTAACTACGTGACTTAACTCGCACATCCTGGGCAGATCTGGACTCAATATCCCATTAGTGAGCCGCTTCGGCAGGGCAGGCTGCGTTGGCTGTTTGATGTAGCCTGTACACCCAGCCACCGCATGCCCACTGGCTAGAGGAGAGATGGACTGATGGAGTACAGAATAATGTGGAGCTGATTGGACTCGCCGATGACTGATACCATCGGTGGCAGGATCGGCTTGTGTGGAGGTCGGGAGGTCAAACGACGCTGCTGGCCAGGAGGAGCGACACTCACAATAACGAGCGTAGCGCCAGGTGCCAATCGGGAGCACAGGTGGTGGCATCTGTCAGTTATCTCGGTCATCTCAGTCAGTCAACCCACAGGACCTGGTGTCTACATTATGAAATCCTGCTGGCGAGCCTTGGACGCTTCACGTGATAGCCTCAAAGTGCACCTAGCCTGGCACGAACGCCGTGGTGACGTCACTACCACGTGGTGGTGAGCGGCGGCTATTGTTGTTGTGTGCACTTGTGTGTGTGTGTGTGTATGTGTGTGAATGTGTGTGGCTGCTTTGGGTACGCGGTCCAGACCTCCCCAGAGACCCTGGCTGACAGAGGAGGTGTTCTGGATGGTTGAGAAAAAGCGACAGGCCCACTGCCATCGGCTACAGAATCCCACGTCAGAGAATGAGGAGGCTTACCGCAGCCTTCGCTCGGAGGTTCGGAGAGCCGTGAGGCGCTGCAAGGATGGGTGGTGGTCGCGGGTTGCTGAGGAGATGGAGTCTGCCTCAGTGGCCCGTGATCACAAATCTCTATTTAACTCCATCAAAAAAGTAACCTGCAGCGCCACACCTATTACCATCATTAGGGGAAAAAACGGTGATCCAATCTCCGACCCCCAGGAACAGGTTTGCAGATTTGCTGAGCATTTCTGTGAGGTCCTGGGGGAGGGAAAATCCCACAGCCAGGAAAACATCGTGGCACAAAGTGAGGATGACCCTGCTAAGGCTGCGGTGCCTCAAATATTGGAAGAAGTCACCCCCTGTGAGTGGCTGGCTGAGGTGTCATCTGTTGAGGAAGTACTGAAGGCGATCCGGAGTCTGAGACCAGGAAAGGCAGCGGGCAGAGATGATCTCCCAAGCGAAATGCTGAGGGAGGGTGGCGTTTGTGCACAGACTGCCCTATATGACATCATAACAACAGTCTGCACCACTGGACGGGTTCCGCAGGATTGGAGGGATGCCCTGGTGGTCCCCCTTTTTAAGAACAGACTGTAACAACTACAGGGGCATCTCACTCCTCAGTGTGCCGGGAAAGGTCCTGGCAAGGATTATTCAGCATCGCCTTGCCAGGCACGCTGAGGAGAGGCTTGCGGAGCCCCAATGCGGTTTCAGGATAGGGCGGTCCTGCACAGATGCCATATTTTCTGTTCGTCTGCTACAGCAGAGGTGTAGGGAATTCCAACAAGACCTACATCTCTGCTTTATTGACCTGGTCAAGGCCTATGATACCATCAGTAGGCCTGGGCTCTGGGTCGTTCTTCGTGCTTTTGGAGTACCTGACCCTCTGCTCACGATCATTAAGGACCTTCATGATGGTGAGCGGGCCCGGGTAAAACTACGTGGCCGGGAGTCAGAGCCATTCCCTGTACACCTTGGGGTGCGACAGGGATGTCCCCTGGCTCCCACATTATTTAACATCTATTTTGACCATGTAGTTCGTGAAGCCTTCAATAGCTGTACCGAGGGAATCTCCATATGGTACCGATATAATGGGAGGCTGATCGATGCCCGGGTGCGGTCAAGGGATGGCTCCCGATTTCTCAACCACGTTATGTATGCTGATGATTTGGTAATAGCTGCTTAGTCAGAGGAGGAGTTGGAGACGCTGCTGCTGAGACTGGAGCGTGCCACTAAGAGGTGGGGCCTTACCATCAGCCCCACCAAAACTAAGCACCTGCCTGGGTATTTTGCACCATCGGACACTCCACCCCCACAACTCCCGATCGGTGATGGGGCAGTTGTGGAGAGAGTGGAGAGTTTCCCATACCTGGGAAGTGTGCTTATGACTGGCTCCAGTTTAACAGCAGAGGTCTCACTCCGAATCAGTCGAGCGGCAATATCTTTTCATCGGTTGCGTAACGCTGTGTGGAAGCTACCTGGTATGTCGCTCCGCACTAAGCTTCAGGTCTTCTCGGCCACGGTCATTCCCTCCCTTCTCTACGCTTGCGAAACGTGGACCCCCCTAATGGAACATCTTCGCCGGTTAGAAACATTTAGGCTGGCCTGCCTACGATCCATCCTGGGTTTAACCAGACTGGATTGTGTGAGGAGCTCACAAATCCTTGAAAGATCTGGGCAGGGTCCCATCGGTGAGCTCCTCCGGCGGGCAAGGCTGCGATGGCTGGGTCATGTAGCCCGCATGCCCAGCCACCGCATGCCGAAACAGCTTTTGTTCGGCCGGATTGAGGGGGCAAAGCGGGCGCGGTACGGGCTAGAGAAGAGATGGAGTGATGTGGTACAGGAGGACGTGGAGCTGAGTGGACTTGCCGATGACTGGTACCAGCGGTGTCAAGATCGGCCTCTGTGGAGGAGGCTCGTGAAGGATGCTACTGGGCAGTTGGAGGTAGTCGCCCTCCAACAACAACGGAGGGCGGAGGAGCGACGCTCACAACAACGAGCGGAGCGCCAGGTGGCTAAAGCACAGCAGGTTGGCACAGTAGGGGGCACAGGTGGTGCATCAGCCAGTCATCTCAGTCAGTCGACCCGTGGCACCTGGGTCTGCCCCGTGACCTCCTGCCAGCGGGCGTTCGACACTTCACGTGGCCTCAGGGTGCACATAGCCTGGCACAAGCGTCGTGGTGACGTCACCGCCACTTAGTGGCGAATGGCGGTTGTTGTTGTGTGTATGGACAGCAGTGGGGAGTGGTAGTGTAGCGGTTAGCGCGCTGCGCTACGAACCTGGCGACCCGGGTTCAATTCCCGCTCACGGCAGTAACGATTATCTGAACCGGTGCTGGGCCTCCCCTAGGTCGACTCAGCCTCAAATTAGTATTTGGTGCGGTGTGTAAACATCGCCGATAGGGAGACAAAGGCGGCCGGGCGTGGTGCTGACCACCCACTCTCTCGCGTGCTGTACCGGGCGTTCTAGGTGCTCGCTAACAGCACTTGCCCTAAGAAGTCTGTTAAGGCTACACGGGGGACCTTTGTTTACGTGAGCGTGTGCCTGTTTGGGGTTTCTATGTTCTCGCTCCGGGTTCTGCCGTCGCTAAACACAATGTACAGTGTGTTCTATATAACGCGGTGGTGGTTGCGTTCCTGAAAAGCAACACCGCGTTATGGAAAAGCGTTTGGTAAAGCACCGTCCACGCTAACACTGCGACGCCGTGGGTAGCGTCTAGAAAAGGTGGTTCTTAACCTTTACCGCAGCCTGTACTCAATCGTAAAAAAAAAATACAATGTTAATAAACACATAAGGGTTTGATGAAACAAAGTAAGTTGATATTCTTGGTTCTTTCGGTAAAGTCACGTAGAAGGGAAACGATAAAATAATAAAAATATTAAACAATAAAATTCTCACGACGTTTCGACTGCAACACAAGCAATCATCACGTGAGAATTGTATTGTTTTATATTTTTCTTAGTTTGTTTCCCTTCTACGTGATTTTACCGAAAGAACAAAGAATATTAATCCCTGCAGTCACGAAAGCTTGAAATAAAAAAAGTAAGTTGAGGTTACTTACGTGCCCGCGCTTAATATGTGTTTTCAATAATTTACATTCTAAAAAAAAATTTGGCCACGTCTCGCTACCCCCCAGAAAAAGGGCATCTCGCCCCCCCAGGGGGTGCGTGCCCCCCAGGGGGTGCGTGCCCCCCAGGGGGTGCGTGCCCCCCAGGGGGTGCGTGCCCCCCAGGGGGTGCGTGCCCCCCAGGGGGTGCGTGCCCCCCAGGGGGTGCGTGCCCCCCAGGGGGTGCGTGCCCCCCAGGTTAAGAACCACTGAGTCTAGAAGCATCCAGCAGCATCCCAATGCCTTGTGCGATGATGCTACGCCGAGGCAGCCGTACGGCCGCATGGGTTTCCTCCGGCTTATTTTGGTTTGCTCCCATAGCACACAATTAAACTGGTTTGGGCCAAACTCTCCAAATTATCCATAATATAGGGGGTTTTTTTTTGGGGGGGGGGGTTAGATCGCGTAAATATAAATGTGTCGTTAAACCCGCCACCACCCGACACAGCCAAATCTTGAGGTTTGTCGCGTGAACAAAATGTGCAAATTCGTTTCCTCCAATTCACTTGATTGGGATCACACAACGCAGCAACATCTCCCCGTGAAAGGATTTGGACTCGGCGAGGTTTTTCCTGGGTAAAATGCGTAAAAATATTAACAATAATGATGATACTGATCATTCTAGGTATTGCTGCTGCAAATGATAAAATTCAACTCGTAACACTGCACAGGAGTGAGGATGACTGAGAGAGAGAGGACGACTCAGAGAGAGAGAGAGGACTCAGAGAGCGAGAGAGTGAGAGAGAACGAATCAGAGACGCCAGCAGAAGGAGGAACCACAAACGAGCGGGAATGCAGCAGCATCCACGCAGTAAGGAGCCGGCGAAAAATATTTCCCCCCAAGCTCTGCGGTCCTCTGTATATGACGGTGCCTATTATACACGTGGGAGGAAACGATGGCGCTCAGAGAACACCAATGCGTGCGAGAGGGCCACACTATACAGGGTCCGATTAAGGTTAAGAGAGGCTAATCGGAGGGAAGGTCAAAATACCAAGGCCGTAATTATAATATATATTGGGGGGGACACATCCCCCCCAATAATCAAATATGCTCAAAATGTCCCCCCCCCAATATATTTCTAAAAGCATATTAAAAAAAATAAAAATTGCGATGCTATGTACAGAAAAACAACAATTTGCTAGACCTTGGTCACAATATCTAAACTTCTCTTCATATAACAATGCATAGATTTCTGTTAATATTATTGTGGTTATGGTTGTACTTTATTAATCCCTCATCTCTGCCATTACATACAATGAAACAAGAAAAGGTAAAAAATAAAAAAACAGTAATGTAATACAATACACTATTATACATTATTGTAAAAAAGTCCATCCCATGTGTTAGTGAATTTTTTATATTTTAGGCAGGAAATTAGTTTTCAAATTGAGATTTTTTTTCTGGGGGGGGGGGGACCCCAGACCCCCTGGAATATTTAGTCCCCCCAATGTTGACTCCATGGCTACGCCTTGCATAATACGCATGCATTAAACATTTTTATGAAGTCATAAAAGGTGTGCATTTATCTATTTACCTATTATATAATTCACGAACGTATTCGACCCTAGGGAAAATCATCAACTATGAAATCGCTCGCTGCACTCTTTTCTTCAAACAAGTAAAAACAATGCTGTAGCTTTGGCGAAGTCATCAACGAAGTCCATCGTAATTCGAAGACGGAACATTCCCGATGGCCACGCTGCCGTCGCTCAGCTGTTACTTCCGTGTGAAATGTAAACTGTTTTTTTAAAACTAAACTATATATATATTTTTATTGTTACCAGGCAAGGCCCCCACTGAGATACATACTGTAGCTCTTTTTCAGGAGCGACACTGACTATCACAAATGATAGCTCAACGAAGTGGCGTGATAATCATCATCATCATCACGTGCAAATGCATTGCAGCCAAAGACTCTAAACGCGTAGTGATGTTGAGTGCTAAGTGTGGAGGGAAAACCGGAGAAAGAGATAACACGCAAACTTCAAATATACAGCAAGCGTCAGGGTCGGAATCGAGGGGTTAAAGGAGGACCTACACATATGAGGGCCTTATTACCCTATACATGGGTTAAAGTGGCCCTGACCCCATCCCGTAAACATTGGAAAGGTAGAAGTCCACACTTGTTGCTGTCCCGCCTTTTCCTGGCGAGCCACGGTGACGAGATGTTGTGTCCCTTACCTGGTACACAGGAGATCGTGGATTCGATCCCTCCCATCACGCCTGCTGTATATTTGAAGTTTGCATGAATATCTATCTCCATCGTCGCGTGGATTTTTCTCCGAGGCCTGCGGTTTTCCACTCCACATTTCGAGTATTTGGCTGAAAAACATTTCCACTTGATAAGCCACTTTCATAGGGTTATCATTTGTGGCCAGGTCGCTTCTGAAAAAGAGCTGTATAGTTCAGTGGGCCTTAACTGGCCAAATATTTTGTATTTTGTATAGTTTTTCCTCTACATCAACAGGGATTGAGGTGGAACAGATGGAGATTAGTTCACACTTGTTATATTGCCTTCTCCCGCTGAGCCAGGGTATGTCGAGTTTCACACAGACGTGTGTGTGTGAAGATCGACCAAACCCTCGCTGCTACATCGTTTGCTGTCCTCCCCCAACACCTGCGATGAGCACGGGTGGCTACGGACCGTGCGAAAAAAGTTCAACACACACCATGAGTGCAGTGGCGGTGGTGATTCAACTGTGGCAGGTAATAATTTCTTCACAACCAAAATACAAATACCAAAAATGTGGCAAAATAATCAAGCACACAATATTCTGCGTCCCGCCAACAGCTATAAACAGGTATTTTCTTTTTTTTACACATCCCATCAGCTACACGGCCTTCTGGGAGAATGCGGATAGTGAGATGTTGATTACCTCGCCTGGTGTACAGGAGATTGTGAATTCGACCCTGACGTCTGCTGTTGTATATTTGGAATTGGTGGTGTCTCTCTCTCTCTCCCCGTGGTCGCGTGGATTTTTCTCCAGAATCCTCTCCGGGTTTTCCCCTCGACATTTCGAAACAACGTCACCACGCGCTTAGAGTATTTGGCTGCTCGAAATTTCCACGTGATGGTGATGATGAGAAGCCGCTAACTTCGTTGAACGATCATTCGTGATAGCCAGGTCGCGTCTGACAAAAATAGTTTCTGTATAGCTCAGTGGGGCCGCTCTTACCTAGTAAAATAAAAAAAATAGTTAGATTGTGGTGGTACGCAGTCTGATATATTGTATCTCTCTCTGTGGAGTTGAAGAGCAAACCCCCCTCCACTGACCCCAAATAGCTCTGTGTGAGCCCCACCAAAACCCCCCTACAGCCCCCACGAGCCCCCCCCCCGAACCCCCCCTACACTTTGCTTGCGCCGAGCGCTCTGAGACCGCGTGGCTGCCTCCGCGAGGAGCGGGCGCGGCTCGCCACCTCCATTGTGATCCCACTCCACCCGAGTGTGTGAGTGTGTACACGTGTGTGTACACGTGTGTGTGAGTGTGTGTGTGTGTGTACACGTGTGTGTGAGTGTGTGTGTGTACACGTGTGTGTGAGTGTGTGTGTGTACACGTCTGTGTGAGTGTGTGTGTGTGTGCACGTGTGTGTGAGTGTGTGTGTGTGCACGTGTGTGTGTACGTGTGTGAGTGTGTGTGTGTACAGGTGTGTGTGTACGTGTGTATTTGCGCACGTGTGTATTTGCGCACGTGTGTATTTGCGCACGTGTGTATTTGCGCACGTGTGTATTTGCGCACGTGTGTATTTGCGCACGTGTGTATTTGCGCACGTGTGTATTTGCGCACGTGTGTATTCGCGCACGTGTGTATTCGCGCACGTGTGTATTCGCGCACGTGTGTATTCGCGCACGTGTGTATTCGCGCACGTGTGTATTCGCGCACGTGTGTATTCGCGCACGTGTGTATTCGCGCACGTGTGTATTCGCGCACGTGTGTATTCGCGCACGTGTGTATTCGCGCACGTGTGTATTCGCGCACGTGTGTATTCGCGCACGTGTGTATTCGCGCACGTGTGTATTCGCGCACGTGTGTATTCGCGCACGTGTGTATTCGCGCACGTGTGTATTCGCGCACGTGTGTATTCGCGCACGTGTGTATTCGCGCACGTGTGTATTCGCGCACGTGTGTATTCGCGCACGTGTGTATTCGCGCACGTGTGTATTCGCGCACGTGTGTATTCGCGCACGTGTGTATTCGCGCACGTGTGTATTCGCGCACGTGTGTATTCGCGCACGTGTGTATTCGCGCACGTGTGTATTCGCGCACGTGTGTATTCGCGCACGTGTGTATTCGCGCACGTGTGTATTCGCGCACGTGTGTATTCGCGCACGTGTGTATTCGCGCACGTGTGTATTCGCGCACGTGTGTATTCGCGCACGTGTGTATTCGCGCACGTGTGTATTCGCGCACGTGTGTATTCGCGCACGTGTGTATTCGCGCACGTGTGTATTCGCGCACGTGTGTGTGGGGAGTGGTAGTGTAGCGGTTAGCGCTACGCTGCGCAACCAACCTGGCGACCCGGGTTTGAGTCCCGCTCACGGCCAACACCAGTGACGATTATCTGAAGCGTTCCTGGGCCTCCCCTAGGTCGACTCAGCCTCAAATGAGTAGCGTTGGCCCCCCACCCCCTCGTGTGCTTCCGGCTTTCATAGGTGCTGCTCGCTAACAGCACTTGCCCCAATAGTCTGTTACAAGCTATAAGGGGGATCTTTGTTTGTGGGGGGGGGGGGGGGGGGGGGTGTTTGGGCGGTCCGACACCCTATGTAAGCCGTGGGGTGCCGCTCAGCGCCGTGTTCCGTCTCTCCTCTCATTCCTCGCCACACTCCCCTCGGAGCTCACCTCCACACACAGGTGAGTGAGTGTTGTGAGTGAGTGAGTGTTGTGAGTGAGTGGTGTGTTGTGAGTGAGTTGTGAGTGTTGTGAGTGAGTGTTGTGAGTGAGTGTTGTGAGTGGTGTGAGTGAGTGGTGTGAGTGTTGTGAGTGAGTGAATGTTGTGAGTGTTGTGAGTGAGTGGTGTGAGTGTTGTGAGTGAGTGGTGTGAGTGAGTGTTGTGTGAGTGGTGTGAATGTTGTGAGTGAGTGAGTGTTGTGAGTGAGTGGTGTGAGTGAGTGTTGTGAGTGAGTGGTGTGAGTGAGTGTTGTGAGTGAGTGTTGTGAGTGAGTGTTGTGAGTGAGTGGTGTGAGTGTTGTGAGTGGAGTGAGTGAGTGTAGTGAGTGGTGTGAGTGAGTGGTGTGAGTGAGTGGTGTGAGTGAGTGGTGTCAGTGAGTGGTGTGAGTGAGTGGTGTGAGTATTGTGAGTGGAGTGAGTGGTGTGAGTGAGTGGTGTGAGTGAGTGGTGTCAGTGAGTGGTGTGAGTGAGTGGTGTGAGTGTTGTGAGTGGAGTGAGTGGTGTGAGTGAGTGGTGTGAGTGGTGTGAGTGGTGTGAGTGGTATGAGTGAGTGGTGTGAGTGAGTGTTGTGAGTGTTGTGAGTAAGTGGTGTGAGTGAGTGGTGTGAGTGTTGTGAGTGGTGTGAGTGAGTGTTGTGAGTGTTGTGAGTAAGTGGTGTGAGTGAGTGTTGTGAGTGAGTGGTGTGAGTGTTGTGAGTGAGTGGTGTGAGTGAGTGGTGTGAGTGTTGTGAGTGGTGTGAGTGAGTGTTGTGAGTGAGTGGTGTGAGTGGTGTGAGTGAGTGGTGCGCGTTGTGTGCGTGCGTTGTGTGCGTACGTTGTGTGCGTGCGTTGCGTGCGTGGTGTGAGTGAGTGGAGTGGTGGTGTGAGTGCGTGGTGTGAGTGAGTGTTGAGTGAGTGAGGGTTGTGAGTGAGTTTTGTGAGTGGTGTGAGTGAGTGTTGAGTGTTATGAGTGAGGGTTGTGAGTGAGTGTTGTGAGTGGTGTGAGTGAGTGTTATGAATGTAGTGAGTGAGTGGCGTGAGTGAGTGTTGTGAATGAGGGTTGTGAGTGAGGGTTGTGAGTGAGTGTTGTTATGAGTGAGTGGTGTGAGGTGAGGGTTGTGAGTGTTGTGAGTGAGTGGTGTGAGTGAGTGTTGTGAGTGGAGTGAGTGGTGTGAGGTGAGGGTTGTGAGTGTTGTGAGTGAGTGGTGTGAGTGAGTGGTGTGAGTATTGTGAGTGAGTGGTGTGAGTGAGTGGTGTGAGTGTTGTAAGTGGTGTGAGTGAGTGTTGTGAGTGAGTGGTGTGAGTGTTGTAAGTGGTGTGAGTGAGTGTTGTGAGTGTTGAGTAAGTGGTGTGAGTGAGTGGTGTGAGTGAGTGGTGTGAGTGAGTGTTGTGAGTGGTGTGAGTGAGTGGTGTGAGTAAGTGGTGTGAGTGGTGTGAGTGAGTGTTGTGAGTAAGTGTTGTGAGTAAGTGTTGTGAGTAAGTGGTGTGAGTAAGTGTTGTGAGTGAGGGTTGTGAGTGAGTGGTGTGATGAGTGAGTGTTGTGAGTGAGTGTTGTGAATGAGGGTTGTGAGTGAGGGTTGTGAGTGAGGGTTGTGAGTGAGTGGTGTGATGAGTGAGTGTTGTGAGTGTTGTGAGTGGAATGAGTGGAGTGAGTGGTGTGAGGTCAGGGTTGTGAATGTTGTGAGTGAGTGGTGTGAGTGAGTGGTGTGAGTGAGTGAGTGTTGTGAGTGAGTGGTGTGAGTGAGTGTTGTGAGTGGTGTGAGTGTTGTGAGTGGTGTGAGGTGAGTGTTGTGTGTGAGTGTTGTGAGTCTTGTGAGTGGAGTGAGTGGTGTGAGGTGAGTGTTGTGAGTGGTGTGAGTGTTGTGAGCGAGTGTTGTGAGTGAGTGTTGTGAGTGAGTGTTGTGAGTGAGTGTTGTGAGTGAGTGTTGTGAGTGAGTGGTGTGAGTGAGTGGTGTGAGTGAGTGTTGTGAGTGAGGGTTTTGAGTGATTGTGAGTGGTGTGAGTGAGTGTTGTGAATGTAGTGAGTGAGTGTAGTGAGTAAGTGGTGTGAGTGAGTGTTGTGAGTGAGGGTTGTGAGTGAGTGGTGTGATGAGTGAGTGTTGTGAGTGAGGGTTGTGAGTGGTGTGAGTAAGTAGTGTGAGTGTTGTGAGTGAGTGGTGTGAGTGTTGTGAGTGGTGTGAGTGAGTGAGTGGTGTGGGTGAGTGGTGTGAGTGAGTGGTGTGAGTGAGTGTTGTGAGGGAGTGGTGTGAGTGTTGTGAGTGAGTGGTGTGAGTGAGTGAGTGGTGTGAGTGAGTGGTGTGAGTGGTGTGAGGTGAGGGTTGTGAGTGTTGTGAGTGAGTGGTGTGAGTGCGTGGTGTGAGTGCGTGGTGTGAGTGCGTGGTGTGAGTGTTGTGAGTAAGTGGTGTGAGTAAGTGGTGTGAGTAAGTGTTGTGAGGTGAGGGTTGTGAGTGGTGTGAGTGAGTGGTGTGAGTGTTGTGAGTGTTGTGAGTGAGTGGTGTGAGTGAGTGTTGTGAGTGAGTGGTGTGATGAGTGAGTGTTGTGAGTGAGTGGTGTGAGTGGTGTGAGTGGTGTGAGTGTTGTGAGTAAGTGGTGTGAGTGAGTGGTGTGAGTGAGGGTTGTGAGTGTTGTGAGTGAGTGTTGTGAGTGAGTAGTGTGAGTAAGTGGTGTGAGTGAGTGTTGTGAGTGAGTGTTGTGAGTGAGTGGTGTGAGTGTTGTGAGTGAGTGGTGTGAGCTAGTGGTGTGAGTGAGTGTTGTGAGTGGTGTGAGTGAGTGCTGTTAGTGAGTGTTGTGAGTGAGTGGTGTGAGTGAGTGGTGTGAGTGTTGTGAGTGAGTGTTGTGAGTTAGTGGTGTGAGTGGTGTGAGTGAGTGGTGTGAGTGAGTGTTGTGAGTGAGTGTTGTGAGTGAGTGGTGTGAGTGTTGTGAGTGAGTGTTGTGAGTGAGTGGTGTGACTGAGTGGTGTGAGTGTTGTGAGTGCGTCCCCGCAGTGACCGCGAGATAATCGCAGCGTCTGACATGATAACAGCTCGACACATTCGTCTGTAACACCACTCTGCGTGGTCTTAAAATAACGAAATAAACATACAATCGGCGACATTTCGGGCAATGGTCCTCGTGTGCTATGAGTAAGGGCTATTTTCTGAAACGTCGCCTATTATTTTTTCTTTTTAAGACCACACGATGTTACCGATGCACGTGTAGAGTTGATATTATCTGTGCCTGCGCAGCCACTGCCAACGCAGCAACAGCAGCATCGCTATAATTTGTGCATTAGAGAATGTTGCCTCCATCTGGTACCCATTATCTAACGAATATGTTGAACTTCTTTCCGTACGTAGACAACCGTGATAATTAATCGGAGGGGGCGCGGGAAGGGCAATAAATTAACACGTAACAATTCATATTCTTAGTTTTTTCGGTAAAGTCACGTTGAAGAGAAACAACAAAATAACAAAATATATATAAAACAATACAAAATTCTCACGACGTTTCGACCATAACTCAAACGGTCATCATCAGGTGTGTCGGTTTGCATAAATTTATTTAAAAAAACGGCACATTTATTTATTTATAAAAAACGTTGGCGTCACGCGCAGCGATTGGCAGTTTGCCCAGGACTAGTCCATCTATTTTTTTTAAAAGAGGAGGGGGGAGACGAAATTTTTTATAATGTATGCTGTCTGAAAGCCACTGTAAGCGTGAACAATCAATCAAGAACTGAAATGATTTATCAAATCTTTCCAATGATTGCTAAGATAGAATCCATCTTCTCGGTTGAAATTGTCTCTGTGCTTGTATATGTGGATAGCCTCATGAACGAATCTCTCATGGAAGCCAGATGGCTTACAAAGAACCTCCGTCTTGGAAAAGTCAATGGCATGTGAGCCTACTGAATTAGAACAATGATCTGCTACGGCCGAGGTGTTGGTCCTACCGTGTTTAAGGTCTGCTTTATGTTCACGAATGCGGTCCGAGACATGGCGTTTGGTTTCTCCAATGTAACTACTACCACAGAGGCAACTTAGTTTGTAGACACCAGGGTATTGTATGTCCGGAATCACATCTTTTACAGACGGAACCAGATCACGGATTTTATGTAATGTGTTGAAACGGACCTGGATCTTGTGTTTATTCAAGATTTTGGAGATCTTTTTTGTGATCCCAGCAATGTAGGGTAAAGTGATGGTTTTGAAAGGCTCCTCAAGAGGGTTCTTCTTCCAAATTTACCATGGAAGTCGAAATAGATGGCAAGATACCTTTTTTGGATGTCCTAATTAAAAAGAGACCTGATGGTTCAATGAGCCACTCTGTCTACAGGAAAGCTACCCATACGGATGCTTATCTGAAACCGGATTCCCACCACCATCCATCACAGAAGAATTATCTCATCAAGACTCTGTATCATAGAGCCCAATGCATATCCGACCAGGAACACATAAGCAGTGAACTCAAGCACGTACACCAAGCTGTTAGGGCTAATGGTTACTCCGACTATACAATCCGCAAAGCTATCACTCAAACCATGAAGAAGAACCCTCTTGAGGAGCCTTTCAAAACCATCACTTTACCCTACATTGCTGGGATCACAAAAAAGATCTCCAAAATCTTGAATAAACACAAGATCCAGGTCCGTTTCAACACATTACATAAAATCCGTGATCTGGTTCCGTCTGTAAAAGATGTGATTCCGGACATACAATACCCTGGTGTCTACAAACTAAGTTGCCTCTGTGGTAGTAGTTACATTGGAGAAACCAAACGCCATGTCTCGGACCGCATTCGTGAACATAAAGCAGACCTTAAACACGGTAGGACCAACACCTCGGCCGTAGCAGATCATTGTTCTAATTCAGTAGGCTCACATGCCATTGACTTTTCCAAGACGGAGGTTCTTTGTAAGCCATCTGGCTTCCATGAGAGATTCGTTCATGAGGCTATCCACATATACAAGCACAGAGACAATTTCAACCGAGAAGATGGATTCTATCTTAGCAATCATTGGAAAGATTTGATAAATCATTTCAGTTCTTGATTGATTGTTCACGCTTACAGTGGCTTTCAGACAGCATACATTATAAAAAATTTCGTCTCCCCCCTCCTCTTTTAAAAAAAAATAGATGGACTAGTCCTGGGCAAACTGCCAATCGCTGCGCGTGACGCCAACGTTTTTTATAAATAAATAAATGTGCCGTTTTTAAAAATAAATTTATGCAAACCGACACACCTGATGATGACCGTTTGAGTTATGGTCGAAACGTCGTGAGAATTTTTTTATTGTTTTATATATATTTGTTATTTTGTTGTTTCTCTTCAACGTGACTTTACCGAAAAAACTAAGAATATGAATTACTGCAGTCACGAAAGCTTTAAATCAAAACGTAACAATTCGTTCTTAAGAAATTCGTTTTCAATATATGCGAGTATGTGAGTCTCGACGTGAGTATATGGGTCTCTGTGTGAGTCTATGGGTTTCTATGAGTCTATGGGTCTCTGTGTGTATGTGGGTGTCTCTGTGTGTGCGAGTCTGTGGGTCTATATGTTGAACTTCTTTCGCACCGTGCATAGCCAAAACGTGCTTTTTTCGGTGGTTGCAGGGGTTTGGAGAAGGACAACAAACTCAGCACAACAATAAGTTGTTCTAAAGAAACGAGTTCTCAATCTAGATTTAAAAGTGCACAGGTCCCAGTCGTTTCCTAATAAAGTGAAAATAATAATCCAGTAGTGGAACTGCTGAACCAAAAATAATCCAGCAGTGAAAATAATAATCCAGTAGTGGAACTGCTGAACCAAAAAAATAATCCAGCAGTGAAAATAATAATCCAGTAGTGGAACTGCTGAACCAAAAATAATCCAGCAGTGAATATAATAATCCAGTAGTGGAACTGCTGAACCAAAAATAATCCAGCAGTGAATATAATAATCCAGTAGTGGAACTGCTGGATTATTTTTTTACGCCTGAGGATAACCGCTTGTGTTGCGATCGAAACGTCGTGATTTATTTTATTTTATTTTTATTTTTCTACCTACGTGACTTTACCTGAAGAACCAAAGAATAAGGATACTGGAAATAAAAATGACAACTCCTTATTTCATCCACTGCAGGATGAAAGGTCTTATACCCTAGTCCGTGTCGGTGACGGTGGGGAGGGGGGGGGGGAATTAGCCATACTTCACCACGCTAGTCAATGCGGGTTGGTTAACAATGGTCTAGTAATAAGATTGCATTGGTTGAACGCGTGGAGCGGTGGCGCAGTAGTTGAGTTGTCTAGGCACTGCGCTATGGACTCGACAGTCGCCTGTCTGAATTCGTTCTCCCCTTCACGGCTAACGTCAGTGGCGAGTGATATACAGTATATATACTGTATGTAAATATGCTGTGTATAGGGTTCCTGGCTCACCAAGCCGGCCTGATCCGCTTGCAGTGGCGGGGGTGTGTGAACTACCTCGCCTGGTACGCAGGAGGTCGTGGTATGAAAAATAAGAATAGGTTTTACCCTTGCTGGCAATAAAATAGGTGTTAAGATGTTCAAACATCAAATAGAAACCTTTTGCATGGAAGTCGTGGGTTCGATCCCGACCCTGACGCCTGCTGCTGTATATTTGGACTTTGCGTGTTTCTCTCTCCCCGTGGTCGCGTGGATTTTTCTCCAGGTTCTCCGGTTTTTTACCTCCACATTTAGAATCAACATCACCACGCGTTTAGAGTGATTTGGCTGCTGCTATAAATTTCCACACGATGATGATACGCCGGCTTCCTTGAGTGGTGGCGGTGGGGTTTAACGACGCTTTCATATTTACGCGATCTAACCCAACAATTATGGATAACGATTCAAATGACCGGAACACGAAAAAATATAAAAAAATTTTAGGTTGGTGGGGGAGGGGGGGGCATTTGGATTTTAGTTGTAGGGTAGTTTAATCAGGATAGCTTACCTAACTTAATTTAAATAACAATTATATATTAAGATCGACCAACTTGCACTTAACGCTTGCCCGCCGTGAGAGTAAAGCAGACGGCTCGCAGCTTTTGCAGTACTTTGACGCTTAATTTCTCACAGGCGCGATTATTAAACCAGGGTGGCCTGCCACGCGCGGTTCGAACCGCGAACGCCTGACCACGTGGGCCCCACAAATTTTTGGGCTGCCACGGTGACTCGGAGATGTTAACTACCTCGCCTGGTATACAGAAGGCCGTGGGTTCGATCCCGATCCCTGATGCCTGCTGCTGCTGTATATTTGGAGTTTGTGGTGCGTCTCTCTCCCCGTGGTCGCATGGATTTTTCTCCGGATCCTGCGTATTTGGCTGCTGCTATAAACTTCCACCTGATAAGCCACTTCGCTGAGCTGTCATGCGTGATGGCCAGGTCACTTCCGAAAAAAAATAGCTTCATAGCAGCTTAGTGGGCCTTACACCGAGTAAAATATAAAAAAAAACCGCGTTTAGTTTTAGGTTAATCTTATTATTTGTGCAACACAGCTCACGTGGAGACCCAATTGGTGAGACAACCGGTTTTGGATTCTGTTTTTCCTGCTGCGTTGCCGATAGCTTCATCTCATTCCCGTGCCGCTGTCTTGCTCACCCCACTCCCTCCCGCCCCACAGCCGCAAGCCTCCTCCTCCCAGCCAGCCAGCCCAACGTGCACGTGGCGGTGATGTCGCAGTCGTTCGTGGTGACCCAGCAGCCCGGCGTGGCGTACGCCCAGCAAGCCCCGCACGCCCAGGAGAAGTGGAACTCGGGCCTCTGCGACTGCTGTGATGACATGGGCATCTGTGCGTGAGGGTGGGGGGGCAGCGGAGTGGGGTGTGTGTGGGGGGGGGGGGCAGCGGAGTGGGGGGTGTGGGGGGCGGTAGCAGGGGGGGGGGCTAATAACAGTTGAACACAGTCGGCTTTCGCAAGCAATGTTATCCATATGAGTGTTTTTTTGGGTTAGATCGCATAAATATATAAATGTGTCATTAAACCCGCCACCACTGGACACAGCCAACTAGTAAGGGTTGTCACGTAAACAGAACATGCCAATTCGTCACTAGTACAGCACACCGGTGTGTTGGAGAGTAAATCTCCAACATTTTCAATCTGGGTACCACGTTTCTCTAGTAATTACAACGAGCATCATCAGGCGGCAGCCAGATTTGTGGACAAAATCCTCCTGTTTCGTTCCTTAAATCGAGGGATAGATGTGATGTCACCTGTGAGCCCTTCACGTGGGAAGGGGGGGGGGGTTAATGAATGCATATCAATTACAATGGGCATCAACTGCCAGTTGGGTCTTTTATATGGTAATCAACATACATTGTGTGTCCACATTATTATTGTATCTCCTGTCCTTTGTGTGCACTAAACAACAAGTACATAGGCATAGTTATAGATTTGAAGCTTTTGTGACTGCAAGGATTCATACTCTTTGTTTTTTTCGGTAAAGTCACGTAGGTAAAATAAAATAAATGAAAATAACTAAATTTAATCACGACGTTTCGGAGGCAACACAAGCTTCCGTCTTCAGGTGGAACAGACGCAGCAAAATTAGCAGTATCAAGTGAACAGCTCTGGGACACACGAGATTATTAACAGGTTAAGGGGGGGGGGGGCAGGAAGGGACGTGGGTGGGGGAGGGGGGGCTAAGTTAAGCCGCCTTTTGTTATTCTGCAGGGGGTTCTGGGGGAGGCGGTGGTGTACTTGCACGTTAAACCACCTTTTGTTATGCTGCAGGGGGTTCTGGAGGAGGGTGATGGCGTGCTGCACGAGAGCGAGTATAATCCTGGTAGAAACGGAGATGGCTGTATAATTATGAGCCAAAAGTTGCTCAATATGAAATCAGATTTGAAACACGGCAGAACGAATTCTTCGGCCGTGGCTGATCATTGTTTCAACACAGCGGTTTCTCATGACATTGTCTTCTCTGATACCAAAGTACTCTGCAAACCTCCCGGCTGTTACCAAATATTTGTCCATGAAGCCATCCAGATATACAAACATAGACACAACTTCAACCGAGAGGATGGTTTTAAATTGAGCAACTTTTGGAAAGATGTCATCAACCAAGTCAAACTTTAGCTGGCTTATAATTATACAGCCATCTCCGTTTCTACAAGGATTGTACTCACTCTCGTGCAGCACGCCATCACCCTCCCCCTGAACCTCCTGCAGCATAACAAAAGGTGGTTTTACGTGCAAGTACACCACCGCCTCCCCCAGAACCCCCTGCAGAATAACAAAAGACGGCTTAACTTAGCCCCCCCCTCACCCACCCACGTCCCTTCCTGGCTCCTCCCCCTTTAACCTGTATATAATCTCGTGTGTCCCAGAGCTGTTCACTTGATACAGCTAATTTTGCTGTGTCTGTTCCACCTGAAGACGGAAGCTTGTGTTGCCTCCGAAACGTCGTCATTTAATTTAGTTGTTTTCATTTATTTTACCTACATAGGCATAGTCTATTATTTTTTCTATTATTTATTTTATTTCTACGTGACTTTACTGAAAGAACCAACGAGTAATTCCTGCAGTCAGTCACGAAAGCTTCAAATCAAGTTTGAACCACCTCTATGGAGAGGATTTTCACACAACTCATGCTTAACTTAAAATTTAGCAATCTTTGGAAGAACGTAATCAACCTGGTAAAGTGTTAATTGTTGTGTTAGCCGACTCTCTGTTTTGCATTGCATTATATTTCTAAGTTTACTAGGCTTGTTTTCTTAAACTTCCAATTTCTCTCCCCCTGCCGCTCTCATTGACATGCTAATTTATCTGCCCCCCTCTCTCTATATATATAAAATACCTGGTCACAGAGGCGTTGTTTCTCTGTCTCTGTGTGTGTCTCTCTCTGCGTGTGTCTCTTGATGTGTCTCTCCTCTTTGTGTGTATCTCTCTCTGTGTCTCTCTTTCTCTGTGTGTTTGTCTCTCTTCGTGTCTGTGTTTGTCTCTAAGTATATGTGTCTCTTTCCGAGCTTGCATTCACACCTGATGACGGTTGCTTGTGTTGCAATCAACGTCGTATTCTATTATTGATTTCATTATTTGATGATTCGCTTCCAAGCAGCACTAAGCCTGTAGCTATCCGAATGGTTAACATTTATTTTTTATCTTCTTTGGTTCTTTCGGTAAAGTCACGTAGAATGAGAATAAAATAATAAATTGATAAAATAAAATAACACAATAATATTCTCACGACGTTTCGGCCACAACACAAGTGGCCTTCATCAGGTGAAGGCCGCTTGTGTTGTGGCCGAAACGTCGTGATTTTTTGTTATTTTATTTTCACCTACGTGACTTTACCCAATAGAACCAAAGAGTATGGATCCTAGCAGTCACGAAAGCTTTAAATCTAGGAAGGTGACAACAGTTGTTGCGATTATTCGCAAATGGAAGAAACACAAAATAACTGTCAATCTCCCTCGGCCTGGGGCTCCATGCAAGATCTCACCTCGTGGAGTTGCAATGATCATGAGAACGTTGAGGAATCAGCCCAGAACTGCTAGCTAACAGCACTTGCCCCAACAGTCCGTTGAGGCTACACGGGAGTCTTCGTGTGTGAACCCCATTGGCACCTGGGTCCTGTCGCGTGATCTCTCATGTCAGCGAGAGCCTTCAACACTTCACGTGGCTTCGGAGTGCGCCTGGCCTGGCACTGGCGCCGTGGTGACGTCTCCGCCACTTACTGGCGAATTGCGGCTGTTGTGTCCCAACCAGTCCCTGGGCTTTCCCAAGGTCGACTCGGCCTCAAATGAGTACCTGGTGTCAAGTGTAAACGAATTATTTTTTATTTTACCAGGTAAGGCCCACTGAGATATATAGCTCTTTTTCAGAAGCGACCTGGCCGTAAATGATAGCTTAACGAAGTGGCTTATCATTGTGAAAATTCGTAGCATCCAAATACTCTAAACGCACGTTTCTAATTGTGGAGGGAAAAATCGGAGGACCCAGTGAAAAATCCACGCGCCCACGGGGAGAGAGACATGCAAACTACAAATACATAGGCGTAAGTGTCGGGATCAAACCCACGAAGCTCCTGTATACCAGGCAAGGTAGTTAACATCTCGCCACTGCCGCACAAACATCGACACCAGAGAAACTAGTAGTAGGTGGCACATTTGGTAATTTGTTTTTTCCACTTTCCTCTCTCCCTCTGTCTTGTAGTGCCAATATAGCTCAAGTAGTGGCCACATCTTTCTGTCACCGATCTCTTATGATGATGTCGTCGTCATTATCAAGCCCTTCACTCTTAGGTCTTCTTCTCTGTCCGGTTCCTTCCATTTTTTCGAACAACAAAAACAACATTTAAAATGTTCCTGTTGTCCACCCTACAGATGTGTCCAGAGTAGTATCCAGTGTCATTCTCTTCACTGCCTGCATCTTCAGGTTGTCTTCTATCTATGGTGCAACCTTTTTCTCACTACCTTGATTACCCTCCCATCTAAATCGCAGTTTCATGCGGAGCTGTCGACCATTCACGACAGTGTCACTCTCAGCTGAGCTTGACTCGCGTGGTCCATCGCCCCATGTCAGGTTCACTGTTTCTGCAACGTCCTTTTTGCAATTGACCAGTCCAACAAATACGTCTACCTGAGCCGACTGACTGAATGCTCATTCACGTTTGCGCGATATTTTTTTACATTTCGCATGTGACGGAGTTGTTTGGCTCCGATGTCTCTGCTTAAACAGAGCTATGACAAATGTTTTGATATTTGCATTTCTGTTGTAGTTGTTGTTGTAGTTGTGGTAGTTGTTGTTGCAGTTGTTGTTGTAGTTGTTGTAGTTGTTGTTGTAGTTGTTGTTGTAGTTATTGTTTGCCTGTTGGCATTGTTCTCCTGTCTTACATTGGTGCGGAGACAAGGCCATGACAGTATGCTGCCTCTGACGTAGGACCATCAGTTTCAAACACAAGGCGTACATTACTATCAACGCCCGTTTGTTTACACGTTTTACCACAAGTATGTGTGTGGTTAATGAAAACCTGCTTGATGCCTTGTAATAGGCGTGTCTATTTGGTGTTTTAACATCTCAACACTCCCCGTGTTATTTTTATCGTCCGTGTGCGGTGAGTGTCGAGTCAGTGTTTGGTGTGCGGCAAGGCAGTAATTATCCCCCCCAATATTCAAATATGCTCAAAATGTCCCCCCAAATATATTGCTATAAAATAGATTTCTGTTTATATTATTGTGGTTATGGTTGTACTTCATTAATTCCTAATCTCTGCCATTACATACAATGAAACAAGAAAAGGTAAAAAATAAAAAATACAGAGCAATGTAATACAATACACTATTAGACATTATTGTAAAAAAAAGTCCATCCCATGTGTTAGTTATTTTTTAATATTTTAGGCAGGAAATGGCAGGAAATTATTTTCAAATTTAGATGTATTTTCTGGGGGGGGGCACCCCCAAACCCCCAAACCCCCAAACCCCCTGGAATATTTGGTCCCCCCCAATGTTGACTCCATGGCTACGGCCTTGGTGTGTGGTGAGTGCGGTGTGTGCTGATCGCTGAGTCTGATGTCAGCCTGGGTGAGTGTTTGGCGAGTGTGTGGTGGTGTGTATTGGGTGAGTGTTTGGTGTGTGGTGATCATTGGGTGGTAATATTTTGGTGAGTATGTGGTGTGCCGTCAATGCTTGGCGAGTGGCTGGTGAGTTTGCCGTGAGTGTTTGGTGAGCTCTGTGTGTGTTTGTGTGATGTGCCAGCAGGCTTGGGGCGTGGTGGCGTGGCGGTTAGCGCGCTTGCGATTCCAACCGGGCGACCAGATTTCGATTCCCGCTCACGTCCAACACCAGTGACGATTATCGGAATGGGTCCTGGACCTCCCCTAGGTCGATTCAGCCTCAAATGAGTGCCCGTTGCACTGCGTAAACATCGCCACTTGGGAGTCAAATGTGGTCGGTCGGTCGGGCGTGGTGCTGGCCACCCACCCCCTCACATGCAGTTCCGGCCTTAATAGGTGCTCGCTAACAGCACTTGCCCCAACAGTCTGTGAAGGCAATTTTTTTTGTTATGTTACCAGGTAAGGATGACTGAGCTACGTAGCTCATCTTCAGGAGCGACCTGGCCACAAATGATAGCTCCATGGAAGTGGCTTATCATCATCCCTTGGAAATTTATAGCAGTAGCCCAAAATACTCTACGGATGGGTGATGTCGATTCTAATTGCGGAGGGCGAAAAAACCGGAGGGCCACGGAGAAAAACCCACGTGACCACGGGGAGAGCGAGAGATATGACATGCAAACTCGGGTGCTGTTAGCGAGCAACTATGAAAGCCGGTATGGTGGGTGGCCATCACCACGTCCGGCCGCCTTTATCTCCCCAGTCCTGATGTTCAGGCACACCAAAGACAAAGATCCCCAGTATAGCCTGAATAGACTATTGGGGAAAGTGCTGCTGGCGAGCACCTAGAAAGGCTGGAACGGCACACGAGGGGGTTGGTGGCCAACACCACGGCCGGCCGCCTTTGTCTCTCTAGTGCTGATGTTCACACACCACACCACAGCAGATAGGACGGGCTCATTTGAGGCCGATTCGACATAGGGGGAGGCTCCACGGCCTTTGCAGGCATTCGACGTCTTGGTCGTGAGCGGGAATCGAAATCGTGTCGACGAGTTGGTAGCGCGGCGCGCTAACCACTGCGCCAACGTTCCCCATACACGCACGTGCATGCGTTGAACTTCTTTTGCGCCGCACGTGGCCAACCGCGCTTATCGGTTGTGGGGGATTGTCGTCTTCTGTCGCCCGCCAGGCTGCTGTGGGCTGTTCTGTATGCCGTGCCTCGAGTGCCGCGTGGCGAGTGACTATGGCGAGTGCTGCTGCTTGCCATTGTTGCCCGGAACCAGCTTCTCCATACGCACCGGCATACGGGAGCGTCACCATATCGAGGTGAGGGACCGCCACTTACACCCGTTTTTTTTTCCCCCTCCCAGGTAAGGCTCCACTGAGCTATACAGCTCTGTGGTTTTTTTTTCCCAGAAGCGACCGGGCCATCACAAATGATGACTCACCGAAGTCTGCTATAGAGAGAGCGGAGAGAGAGACGGTGACAGGGTGGGTGTGGATGGGTGTAGGTGAGTGAGTGTGGGTGGGTGTAGGTGAGTGAGTGTGGGTGGGTGTTGTGGGTGGGTTGGTATGGGTGGGGTGGGTATGGGTGGGGTGGGTATGGATGGGTGTGTGTGGGTGGGTATGAATGGGTGTGGGTGGGTGGGTGTTGTGGGTGGGTGGGTATGGGTGGGGTGGGTATGGATGGGTGTGTGTGGATGGGTGTTGTGGGTGTGGGGTTGGGGTGGGTATGGGTGGGGTGGGTATGGGTGGGGTGGGTTATGGGTGGGTGGGTGTGGGTGGGTGTTGTGGGTCTGTGTAGGTGGATGGGTGGGTATGGGTGGGTTTGGGTGGGGGTGGGTGTTGTTGGTGTGTGTGGGTGGTTGTTGTGGGTGGGTATGGATGGGTGTGTGTGGGTGGTTGTGTGTGGGTGGGTATGAATGGGTGTGGGTGGGTGTTGTGGGTGTGGGTGGGTGTTGTGGGTGTGTGTGTGTGGGTGGGTATGGGTGGGGTGGGTGGGGGTGGGTATGGGTGGGGTGGGTGTTGTGGGTGGGTGTTGTGGGTGGGTATGGATGGGTGTGTGTGGGTGGGTGTTGTATGTGTGGGTGGGTGCGTATGGGTGGGGTGGGTGTGGGTGGGTGGGTATGAATAGGTGTGGGTGGGTGTTGTGGGTGTGTGTGTGTGGGTGGGTATGGGTGGGGTGGGTGGGGGTGGGTATGGGTGGGGTGGGTGTTGTGGGTGGGTGTTGTGGGTGGGTATGGATGGGTGTGTGTGGGTGGGTGTTGTATGTGTGGGTGGGTGCGTATGGGTGGGGTGGGTGTGGGTTGGTGGGTATGAATAGGTGTGGGTGTGGGTGGGTGTTGTGGGTGTGTGTGGGTGGGTGTTGTGGGTGTGTGTGGGTTGGTGTTGTGGGTGGGTGGGTATGGGTGGGGTGGGTATGGATGGGTGTGTGTGGATGGGTGTTGTGGGTGTGGGGTTGGGTGGGTATGGGTGGGGTGGGTATGGGTGGGGTGGGTTATGGGTGGGTGGGTGTGGGTGGGTGTTGTGGGTCTGTGTGGGTGGATGGGTGGGTATGGGTGGGGTTGGGTGGGGGTGGGTGTTGTTGGTGTGTGTGGGTGGGTGTTGTGGGTGGGTATGGATGGGTGTGTGTGGGTGGGTGTGTGTGGGTGGGTATGAATGGGTGTGGGTGGGTGTTGTGGGTGTGTGGGTGGGTATGGGTGGGGTGGGTGTTGTGTGTGTGGGTGGGTGCGTATGGGTGGGGTGGGTGTGGGTGGGTGGGTATGAATAGGTGTGGGTGTGGGTGGGTGTTGTGGGTGTGTGTGGGTGGGTGTTGTGGGTGTGTGTGGGTTGGTGTTGTGGGTCTGTGTGGGTGGATGGGTGGGTATGGGTGGGGTGGGTGTGGGTGGGTGTTGTTGGTGTGTGTGGGTGGGTGTTGTGGGTGGGTATGGATGGGTGTGTGTGGGTGGGTGTGTGTGGGTGGGTATGAATGGGCGTGGGTGGGTGTTGTGGGTGTGGGTGGGTGTTGTGGGTGTGTGTGTGGGTGGGTATGGGTGGGGTGGGTGGGTATGGGTGGGGTGGGTGGGGGTGGGTATGGGTGGGGTGAGTGTTGTGGGTGGGAGTTGTGGGTGGATATGGATGGGTGTGTGTGGGTGGGTGTTGTGTGTGTGGGTGGGTGCGTATGGGTGGAGTGGGTGTGGGTGGGTGGGTATGAATAGGTGTAGGTGTGGGTGGGTGCTGTGGGTGTGTGTGGGTGGGTGTTGTGGGTGGGTATGGATGGGTGTCTGTGGGTGGGTGTTGTGGGTGGGTATGGATGGGTGTGTCAGTCGACCCGTGGCACCTGGGTCTGCCCCGTGACCTCCTGCCAACGGGCGTTCGACACTTCACGTGGCCTCAGGGTGCACATAGCCTGGCACAAGCGCCGTGGTGACGTTACCACCACTTAGTGGCGAATGGCGGTTGTTGTTGTGGATGTGTGTGGGTGGGTATGAATGGGTGTGGGTGTGGGAGGGTGTTGTGGGTGGGGGTGGGTGGGTATGAATGGGTGTGGGTGGGTCGGTGTGTGTGGGTGGGTGTGGGCGGGTGTTGTGGATGGGTGTTGTGGGGGGTGTTGTGGATGGGTGTTGTGGGTGTGTGTGGGTGGGTATGAATGGTTGTGTGTGGGTGTGTGTGGGTGTTGTGGGTGTGTTGTGGGTGTGTGTGGGTGGGTATGAATGGTTGTGTGTGGGTGTTGTGTGTGTGGGTGGGTATGAATGTGTGTGTGTTGTGGGTTTGGGTGGGTGTGGGTATGGGTTGGGTGAGTGGCACTGCAGTGGTGACAAACTCGCACCAAATCACAGTAAGATTTGGGTCCTGGCTTCGATAATTACCGACTCGGGTGCCTTTCTGCGCGTGGACTTTGTATGTTCTTCCGGTGTGCCTGCGTGGCTTTTACTCCAGCTTCTCCTGTGTCCTCCAACAGCTAAAATAACACAAACACAACATCACTGCCACTGATCAAACATCCCGGTGCTGATAAATGTAACTGAAAATGAATCAATCGGCATTACCCCCGACTTCCAAAATTATGGCAGGACTCTTCTTGAGGTGACGATCATCGTCCTCGACGTACGTCAATGTCCGGTTCGTGGTCACTCTGTGGGAGACTCGAGTGTCCGGTTGTTGTTTTTTCTCGGCCTCTGCCTACTGGAGGTAGACGTTCAGGTCGTGGGATCAGCATTGTGGCGTCTTGAAGGTGGAACAATTCTGTCTGTCGCCTGATGAGGCTGCTTGTAATTTACCTGGCGAAACTTCACCGTACTCGAATTGTAAATGTTGTTGTGGGTTTACTCTCCAACACACGACCGGTGTAGTGCTGAACTAGTAACAAATTGGCACGTTTTGTTTACGTGACGGGTGGTGGCGGGTTTAACGACACATTTTTACGCGATTTAACCCAGAAAAATACCTCTTGTGGATCATATTGGTCGCGAAAGCCCACGACTTTGTGGTAAACTCGTTGGCCGAAGGCGCCACATCCCTACGCCCCTTGCCAAAATTCCACGCCGTCGTCTTTGAACTTCCAATGCCTGGAAGGTGAAAGCCAATGTGGATGACGTGTATACTGCCCTATGCTGTCACACAGCGTTGGTGTACGGTGCTTTTTTCAGGAATATTTTGCTGTTTCTTTTCATGGATTTTCTGTTTGCACAGTCACACATAGTCACTTTAAGATGTTTTCTTGTTCGTGTTTTTTTGTTTTTTGTTTGTTGCAGTTGCACCCGATTCAATAGCCGAATGGCTCACAGGGCTATACCAAAAGAAATTAATCTGAACTGAAGTACGACTTTCCAGTCAGCAGCGCTATTACTCTCCACTTGCATTGTCTTTGTACTGTTCACACTGGTGAGACAAGGCCACAAAGGAGGCTGTTTCTGGTGTAGGTCAATCAGTTTAAAAGAAATGCTTATATTATTAGGGGATGTTTGTTTGCATGTTTTGCCACAAGTATGTGTCGATGATGCAGACTTGATTCCTGGCAGAATGTATTTATTTGGTGTTTGAACATCTTATCACCTGATTTGAAGCTTTCGTGACCTCAGGAACCCATACTCTTTGATTCTTTCGGTAAAGTCAGAGATTTGTTCATGAAGCCATCCATATATACAAACACAAACTGAGCAATCATTGGAAGGACGTTATTAACCAGGTAAAGTCTTAACTGACTGTGATGTTTCCATTCTACCTGCCTAGGCCAGCTGTTGTTTCCGACACTCTGAGTACATCACCAGGCTAAATATCTGTGAGGCTGCCTAGCCGACTCCGGTGGCAGAGACCGACTCCGGTGGCAGAGACCGACTCACATTGACACGCTAATCTCTCACATTTACTTACAAGTTCCTTCTCTAGCTCCGCCCACTTATCCTTGGGTTGAGCCCACCAAAACCCTTCATGAGCTCTTGTTGCAGCAGCTCTTTCTCCTATGTCTGCAGTTCACCCGCTGTATCTGTTCCACCTGATGACGGTCGCTTGTGTTGCGATCGACACGTCGTGGTCTATTATGCCTCTACCTACGTGACTTTACCAAAGGAACCAAAGAGAGTACCTGTTGTATTGCCAGAAAGGGTTAAACCTATTCTTAGTTTTTATCATTATGTTTTGCCACCGTACTTAGGGGCCGTCCATAAATGGCGTCATGCACGAGGCAGGGGGGGGGGGGGTTGAGAAATGTGACGTCACATTAAAATGCGCAACTTTAAATACATATAGACAACACGTTCTATTTAATTAAATAGACTTTTTAATAAATGTTTTCTCCTACAACATCATAGTGCAGCACCACATTAAATACGCACTACAATGACAATAGTTTAAAGCGATTTGAAGCACGTTTTATTTTCAAAATGGAAATATGGTTTTGGGGGAGGCAGAGCTTTGTGACGTCATATTTTAGGGGGTCAAAAATCGTCCAAATTGCGTGACGTCATTTATGGACGGCCCCTCACATCTGTCGGTCAAGACGAGACGGCTCAGGTTGGTAGGGCACGGCGTTTGTTGGCTACGCGTGCGCGCGTGCGCCAGTTTCCACAACGCGCTCGCACGCTCCCGGTGTTTAAAAGGGCAGTGTTGATGCCGTTTCGTATTCCGTTTCTTTTTTTTCCCCTTTGCTGAGACCTGGTTTGAGAGTGTGCAGATTGTGTGGTCAATGGTGCCCTGTAACAGCAGACCTTCAGAGACTGGATCCCTGGGTCGTTTTGAACCTCGATAAACGTTTTAAAAACAGAGAAATACAAAAGAACGGTTTGTGTCAAAATGTCCTAGGCACAATTGTCACAGCAATAAACCATTCAAGGTTAATTAGCCCCGATTTTAATCATGTGACGATCGTAAATACTGCCACCAAGTCTCTCTGAGCAATGTCCTCTCTCAAAGATGTCGGAGATCATGGCCTTCTTTCGGTTTAGCTCTGTAGATAATATTACTCAAGGGCCTGTTCGTCTATTGGTATTATTAGTCTATGGGCAAGGTTGGTCTATGGGCAATGTTAGTCTCTGGGCAATGTTAATTTTTGGGTGATGTTAGTTTATTGGTAATGTTAGTCTATAAGCAATGTTAGTATATGGGCAATGTTAGTCTATGGGCATTTGTCAGTCTTTGGGCAATGTTAGTCTGTGGGCAATGTTAGTCTATGGGCAATGTTAGTATATGGGCATTTGTCAGTCTATGTGCAATGTTAGTCTATTGGTAATGTCAGTCTATGATAAATGTTAGTATATTGGTAATGTCAGTCTATGGGAAATGTTATTCTATTGGTAATGTCAGTCTACGAGAAATGTTAGTCTATTGGTAATGTTAGTCTATGGGCAATGTTAGTCTATTGGTAATGTCAGTCTATGAGAAATGTTAGTCTATTGGTAATGTCAGTCTATGAGAAATGTTAGTCTATTGGTAATGTCAGTCTATGGGCAAAGTTAGTCTATTGGTAATGTCAGTCTATGGGAAATGTTAGTCTATTGGTAATGTCAGTCTATGGGAAATGTTAGTCCATTGGTAATGTCAGTCTATGGGAAATGTTAGTCTATCTCTTTATGTGCCGCGCACTTTCCGAAAGAAGACGGTGAACTTGGCCTTACTTTTATTTAGTTCTGCCCACGATAATGACTCCTCAATGAAGTTGTACCCAGTGCTCCCAGTTACATCCAATCGTTTAAAAGGGTTGTGGTGCAACTCAACCAATGGGGGGGGGCACATGCCTCCCCCAATGAAATCCCTAATTTCAATCGGATCATTGGGGTTTATTAGTAATAAATCGGGATTTTGCGACTCCCACTGCCACTGTGTAACGTATTAGTACGTGCCAGGGACTCTATGAGATGATAGGACAATAGTGTGAGTTCATAATTGGCAATAAGTAACGGCAAAGCAGTTATAAGCGACTCACAGAATTGTGCGCAGTTGCGTATACAGTGCACGACTTCCCTGAAGTCATTCACCTTCAGCGAGCGTGATGCCGATCACACAACGCGGTTCGAATTCGATCCTCGATCGATGGCTGTGCCATCGCCACACACGCGTCGAATAAAAAGCAAGGGACAACTCCTTACTTACTAACAACTATCATTTTTAATTGCTCGAGGGGTTGCCCCCCCTACCTGAAAATCCTGGCTCCGCCATTGCTAACAACCCCCGCTTCTTGTAGTATAACTTTCCAGTCACCTCCGATTAGCACGGTCGGCTACGTACGGCGTGAAAGAAGTTCAACATACACACACGCATTCGTGCTTCGTCTCTTGTTTTCTCACGACGTGGTCAAGAAATCGACATTTGAAACGTAGCAGCTCGGAGTAGGAGATGTACAACGTCGTAAAACCACCCGCAATGCGCACATCTTTATTTCTCCTACCGCAGTGACCCCGCACGCATTAGCCACCACATCGCCCACACCACCCGTGCCCCCAATGTATCCACACCGCACTGCTGCTTCGCACGCGACCTCCTTCTGCCTACATCTAGGTATAGGAGTTATTTGACCGCATGGCGTGAGAAACGCGCATTTCTGTGCGTGAGAGGCAATTCCGGAAGGTTTGCAAACCTAATCTTTATTGTGAGATGGCTGTTGTAATGTTGAGGGCTCGTTCTACCAGGAACTTGTGTTTCAACCACCACCACCATTACGCTGCACGCCACAACACGGCTCCTTCTGCTTCTTTTCCTCACACTACTCGACTTAGGAATTCCCTCCCAGGATGAGCGGAGTTCACGCAAACTCCGCTCATCCTCGCAGCAGCAGCGGGTGGCTTTAGGCTGGCCATCGAACAAATACAGTAACCGCGTCGCGCGGCATTTTTGGATGTGCTCATACGGCCGTCTGGAACGCTCTTTCTTCCGATATTAGGAAGCCACTGGAGCTGTGCACTTTTAAATCATCATCTAGATTTAAAATTAATTTCTTCATAATTTTTGCGTTTAGTTTGTTGTCCTTCCGCCGGACCTCCTATTATCACGGTTGGCATCTACGGTGCGAAAGAAATGCAACATATACACACATACATTCCCAAGCTGTTATCATGAAGAATGTCAACATAGTGGGAGCCAAGGCGGTGGTGGCTTTGCTTGTGGCCTGTAACCCAGCACTGTTGGAGGCAGTAGCAGCTGCAGCAGCAGCAGCAGGGGGGGTTGGTGGATCACAACACTGATGATGCGAAGCTCTCTTCCCCTGAGCGTCGAGGAGGAGAGCCGTATGTTGAACTCCTTTGCCACCATACGCAGCCAACGGCGCTAATCGGAGGTGCGGACGACAAAGCGTGGACTAATCCCCATCTGTTCCAACTCCCTTTTCTGTGGGCGTTGAGGAGGAGCCGTTCCCGGCCAGGTGTGGTGCTGTCCACCAACCACCCCTTTGTGTGCCACCGTGCCAGCTTAATAGGTGCTGCTACTCGCTACTAACAACACTTGCCCCAACAGTCTCTTAAGGCTATACGGGGGGGATCTTTGTCTTTGTGTGTGTGCGTTTGCAGGGCACGGTGTGCCGTGATTGGGTCCACCTGGCATGCTGCTTTTCGTGCGCCTTGTGCCAGACTGCGCGGGAGCTCAAGCATCGGCGCAGGCAGGCGAACGTGGTCACCTACCGTGGATAAGAGGGCATCGCCATCATCACCACCACCACCACCACCACCATCATGATTAGCACCATCATCATAGAACAACCATCATCACCTTCATGATCATCATCATCAATCACCACCATCATCATAGAACCATCATCACCACCATCCACATGATCATCGTTACCACTGCCATCATCATAGAACCACCACCAATAACCTACATACAACAATCACGACTATCATCACCACCGCCATCATCATAATCATCATTACCACCACCTACATCATCACCACCACCATCATCATAGAACCACCACTAAAACCTACGTACAGCCACCAAGATCAGCATCATCCTGAAACACACGCCGCGGTGGATGCTGTGTGCGTGGATCGGGCTCCAAGGGAACACTTCTTCGCAGGGGCAGCGGAGATGCAATCCCCCCGCCCCGTGTTCGAGAAGAGCCCTCCTGAAGTGGCTGTGTGTACACACACGGAGGATTTCATTTTTTGGCATCGAGATCCGTGAAACATATACATATTTGGGGGATTATCCGCGATTTTGAATTATCCGCGGACAATTGAGAGCCTCGTGCAGTACGGTTTCACCACTCCACCGCCACACAGCACAGAGGTGTGCAGCACTCACGGGGACGTAACAACGCTCCTCGGCCTTGCCCAGACCACCAGCTTGAAGGAACTGAATGTGTGCGGCCGTCGTCGTCGTAATGATGGTTTGGGTAAGGCCGAGGTGTGCAGCAACTGCATGCATTCTGTGTGTGTCTGTATGTATGTGTGTATGTGTGTATGTATGTATGTATGTCTGTGTGTGTGTCTGTATGTGTGTGTATGTGTGTGTATGTGTGTCTGTATGTATGTCTGTGTGTGTGTCTATGTGTGTGTATGTGTCTGTATGTGTGTGTATGTGTGTGTATGTGTGTGTATGTGTGTATGTGTGTCTGTATGTATGTATGTGTGTCTGTCTGCATGTGTGTATGTATGTGTGTGTCTGTCTGTATGTGTGTCTGTCTGTATGTGTGTCTGTCTGTCTGTATGTGTGTCTGTATGTATGTGTGTCTGTCTGTGTGTGTGTCTGTCTATCTGTATGTGTGTCTGTATGTGTGTATGTATGTATGTCTGTCTGTCTGTATGTGTGTCTGTCTGTCTGTATGTGTGTCTGTGTCTGTCTGTATGTGTGTCTGTCTGTCTGTATGTGTGTATGTCTGTATGTATGTCTGTATGTGTGTCTGTCTGTATGTGTGTCTGTTTGTATGTATGTGTGTCTGTCTGTCTGTGTGTCTGTGTGTCTGTCTGTATGTGTGTCTGTCTGTGTCTGTCTGTCTGTATGTGTGTCTGTCTGTGTGTCTGTATGTGTAGCGGTTAGCGCGCTGCGCTATGAACCTGGCGACCCGGGTTCGATTCCCGCTCACGGCCAACACCAGTGACGATTATCTGAACCGGTCCCGGGCCTCCCCTAGGTCGACTCAGCCTCAAAATGAGTACCTGGTGCGGTGTGTAAATATCGCCACTGGGGAGACAAAGGCGGTCGGGCGTGGTGCTGGCCACCCACCCCCTCGTGTACCGTTCCGGCTTTCATAGGTGCTCGCTAACAGCACTTGCCCCTACAGTCTGTTAAGGCTATATGGGGGATCTTTGTTATCTTTGTTTGTCTGTCTGTATGTATGTCTGTCAGTCTGTGTGTGTTGAACTTCTTTTCACCGAAAGTAGCCAACCGCGGTGGTGTAGCGGATAGCGCTACGCTGCGCTTTGAACCCGGTGACACGATTTCGATTCTCGCTCAAGGCCAACGCTGGTGACGATTATTTGAACCGGTCCTGGGCTTCCCCTAGGTCGACTCGGCCTCAATAAAGTACCTGGTGCGGTGTGTAAACATCGCCACGAGGGAGACACAGCCGGTCGGGCATTGTGCTGGCCACCCACCCCTTCGTGTATTCTTCTGGCCTTCATAGGTGCTACTCGCTAACAGCACATTCCCCAACAGTCTGTTAAGGCTATATGGGGGATCTTTGTCTTTCTGTTGAACTCCTTTCGTCCCGTGCGTAGCCAAACCGCGCTAATCGGAGGTGCGGGACATTGCATATGTTTTGTGGCACGCCAACTCTGCACACCTCTGTGTTATGCACTTTTAAATCACCTCGATCGAAAACGCATTTCTTTAGAACTGCTTTTGGCGTGTTTAGTTTGTTGTTCTTCCCCCCCACCCTCCACGCACCTCTGATTTATCAGGGTTGGCTACGTACGGTGCGAAAGAAGTTATACTACGTACATACGTCCACGCATGTGTGTGCTGTCGAATCTGTGTTTCCGGCAGCCTAAATGGATGTTTCCGTTACGATGAGGCTTCACAGATTGAAAGATTGAACTCCGCAGCCACTCGTCACGTGCAGCCACCACCCGGCAGTTTCCAAAATGTAGCAAGTCGTTAGTCTCAGCTCGGTCACCCACTGACTCAACGAGAGACATATAGCCTTACATAGAGACCCATATCATACAGGGTGCTTCAAAAAATGTTAACACTTCGGAGAATTGGCAACAATACCACAAAAAAATCTGCCTCCGGGCTCTGGAGACCACCTGAAGAAGATTCCAGGCTTGGGTTGACAATGAATGGCGAACAAGTGGAGGCTCTTTGACTTTTTGAAGCTATTAACATTACATTTGTTACCATGTTACAGTGTGTTATCCATTAAAAACGATAGTCCCATGTAAGTGTTAACATTGCTTTGAAGCATCCGGCATATATGGAGACGAATAAACTCACACACACGTTGAGTTGTCACTCAGACGCATAGTCGCCACTCTGCGCGTTGAATTTTTATTGTCTTCAAGAAATGAGACGCAATATGTGGCAAGGCGGGGCTGCTGTCGCTGCTGTTGCTGCTGTCGCTGCTGTTGCTGCGTTGGCAGTGGCGCGCAACCACAAAACCTCAACACGCTCGTCAGTTATAACCCTGTGACCCCGAAAGGAGCACAGGATGTCGAGGCGATGTTCTGCACTGTGCGTCTGTGTGTGGTTGGGCTTCTTTCACGCACCGTACGTGAGCCAACCGTGCCAATCGAAGGTTGCAACTATGGGCCATTGAAGGGCCATTGTCCAAAATAATCGGCACGGTGTGTGCGTGAACCGCAAGATGCAAAACGGCTGTCGCTAAAGATTCCGCGATTAGCGCCGTTGGCTACGTACATTGCGACAGAAGTTCAACATACACGTCCATACATACGATGTACTTGGAAACCTTTTTAGTAAGCCGTTGTGCCCCCTCCCCCCTCCGTCACGGTCTAATCTTTTTCCGAATTATCACATTTAATAAAATGACTCCATTTGGAAAATTCGCGCGCGCGCGCACAGCGGCAAATCGTTGACTCAATCCTGCGAATACCTGTCAGGAAACCCTCCTGCTCGAGTCTTGAGGCTCGTGGAGGCTTTCCTGCAGGCTAATCGAGGGGAGTGATGAACAATACCATGTTTCCTTTTAGGTCGGAGTGAATGGTGAATTTATTGCTATTTTTTTTATTTCACCAGGCAAGGCCCACTGAGCTTTGTAACTCTTTTTGCAGAAGCAACCTGGCTATCACAAACGATAGCTCGACGAAGAAGCCGATATCATCATGGTGTGTGAATGTATAGCACCAGCCAAATATTCTGAACGAGTCACGTTGATTCTAAATGTGGATGGGGAAAAACCGGAGAGAAATCCACGCGACCACGGAGAGAGACGCAAACTCCATATATACAGCAGCAGGCATCAGGGTCGGGATGGAACCCACGACCTCCTGAATACCAGGCGAGGTAGTTAACATCCCTTAGCCACCGTGGTCGCCACGGATTCCTCTCATTTTCCCCGTTTGTAACGTCTCGTTCGTATTGTTCACTGCGTGTTCAATCTCACCTGCTTTTAAGTTCACTTACACGGCTCGCCGAACCGAAACGCTCACGCGTCAGATCGGACGAGTCGTAAACTAATCCATTCGTTGTTTATCGCTAGTGTAAGAATGTATTGGTAATCTATGCATACTCTTTGTTATTACTTGTTATGACATTGTTATTATGACATTGTTATGACGACATTGTAATGACATTGTTATTATGACATTGTTATGACTTGCCTATTGTATTGCGCTTTTTGCTGTTGCAAAACGTGCACCGAATTTCCTTTGGCGTGTACACTGATCATATTTACGGTGTACACTGATAATGATTACGGTGTACACTGATAATGATTACGATGTACACTGATAATGATTACGGTGTGCTTTCAGTTGCTACTTTGATTTTTGTGTGAATAAAAAATAAAACGGATCCCCTCGTGCTGATGTAAGAGCCTCGCCGAGCGTTAGTTAATGTGATAGCAGTTTCGTCTGTGGGCAATGTGTTCACGTGTGTGTTGAACTCCTTTCGCGCACCGTACGTAGCCAATCGTGCTGATTGAAGGTGCGGGCAATGATGGCTACACTCTGCTGATGTGCCCTGGTCAATGATACCGGTGACACTAGACCTTGTATTTGTGCTACCTACATGATAAATGTCCACATCATGATTATGACAAGCCACCCCTCTGAGCTGCAATTTGTGGTAGCTATATTGCAGCTCAATGGGCCTTACCTGGTCAGGATGGCCTGCGCAGATTTGAACGCGAGCCTCTGCAACAAGTGACTAACGCGTGACCGCAGGGCCACCGTGCCCATCAACCGGTTTCATCACTTTTGTACGTGACCATGCCGGCATTCCCGTCACATTGTGCTGTTTTAAGGTACCCCGTTTAGTTCGTACAATCTACTTACACGAAGCACACCGCGCGCATGAACAGTTCCCAACCTAAATGTGGTCATTCTGCCCACTCTACGGCCAAATTATCGTATTCCGCCCCACAGGTGCCAATGTCAACCAATCACAGCTCTGTGACGCCAAATTGACTGCTGCGCACGTGCAACTGCAGCCAATGGCCGTTGAGATGGCGAGACAACGCTCAATCGCGGCAGCCATCCCATTGTCATCACGGTCGAAGAACTAAACTTAATCTATTTTTTGTTTTTTCGGGTAAGCCCCCACTGAGCTATGTAGCTCTCCTTCTTGGTTCTTTCGGTAAAGTCACGTAGAAAGGAAATAATAAAAACAAAACAATAAGATAAA